CCTGCTGAAGAAGTGCTAAATAAGGTTTTCAACAATAAAATGTAATTTAAAGTGTAACTTGAGACCTGCAATAAATTTTGAGTGTGTTTAGGGCTTGTGGAAGTGTCTGCTTACAGGAGAGTGATCAAATTGCTGATGGGAGGAGGAAAAAAGAAACGGTGAATTGGCTAGCTTACTAAGACATTTAAGTTCATGAACTGTGAAAAAGACTCCACAGAGAAGATTAAAAACTCAAACTGAAAGGAACAGCTTTTTGTTTACTACTTTTCTTTTTATGGTATGTCCAAAACTGTAACTGCTCAGAAGTTCAAGTTGTTTTGTCTATGACAGCTGTGTGACTTTCGGTACCATTAGAGCTCCTGTCATGATATTCACAGCAAACCATTTCTAAGATTTTTGTCACCCATTCTAATAATTCACATCATTCAGATGTTTTATATATTTTATATTTTTTATTTTTTTAATTTTTATTTTTTTAATTTTTATTTTTTATTTTAGTTTGGTTTACATAAAGGTGGCTATAGTATGGTCACATTATTTACTAAGGAGCAATTGAGTAGAGAAGCATTTGGGAGGATTATAAGGTGACATTCTTCAGTTACACTTGCATGTGGATCCATAGGGACAGGTTGGTCTGTGTTGCTGCACACCTTATTGGGAGTTAAGTGTCCATTTAAATGTACAACTTCAGTAGGTAAAAGTGTTAGCTACCAAAAACTAGTGTGAACGGATTCTTGATATGTGTACGGTAGCGTATTAGGCTACCATCGTAATTATTTACAGTACATTATAGAGTTGAAATAGGCTAATTCATCTATTTGGTTAAACCAATATAAATTCTTGTTGAAATCTTCATATGTTCATATTGTGAGTATTTGTATTGCAGCTATTCAAGGCAAGAGATGTTTTGTCTTGGCGTAATATCCATTAACTGTATGTGCTCTCCATTTCCTTTCTGTCTTCCTGCAATCATGAATGGGCAATTTGTACCATGTGATACTTGGACTATCTTAGATGTGTTTTCAGTTGACAGCACAGCTGAAATAAAGGGTCTTGTCTTTATCTCAGGCTGTTTTACCAGATTTTATGCAGTCACCCACTTACTGTGCATGCACTAGGCGTACACAATAAGTGGGTGTGCATGTGAGTGCTTGTGACATCATAGTGCTGGGGTGGCAAGAAGTGGTCAGGAAACAGCCCTTGCAGCTGCTTTTTTTATTGGTGACTTAGCTGTCCTGTGAAACTGCATTCTGTGTCTTCTCAGAAGTTACTCACTATTGATGTCAGCTTACAAAATTAATATTTCGCATGTGTAAAATTTTGTCTTCAGTCTTTCCTGATTAACATTTTAAGATCTACATTTCTGTCATGAATGTCTTCTGCAAAACATATACAATTAAAATTCAGAACAACTTCATGTTCCATGCATTTTCGGCTGTTTAAATGTGTTGCATTCTTATTCCTCTCTGATACCTTTGGTTTATATCATAATTCTTTTTTCCCAAAGTAAAAAAAAAAGATAATTAATTCCTCAGTAACCAATACTGAAAGTTGATGTTCAGACAGAAAAAGAAAAAAGATTTTATTGTCACTATTGGTTAACTGTAAATCTATATATTTACCAGGGCCAATGTTTAGTTCTTGTGTTCAAGCTTATAAGTCAGTCACTATCCTACGCTTCAGCAAAAGCAAGTTTACATAACTTTCTAAATCTCCATTCTTCTGTAGTCAGAGGTGCGAGTTGTTTAGAATGTCAGCACTTTGAGATTCAGATTTCTAAATTGCACTTGAATTGCATCCTAATTTTCATTTTCTTTGGAGAGAGAAGTTAAGATTAATGCACAGACTTTTACATACAAGCAGTGAAGAGACAGGAAGAGAAGACACTTTTCCACACACACATTCTCAACTAAAGCAGATGGATGTAAAATGAAGCAAGGTTTTCTGAGCAGGAGCCTTCCTCTCTGAATACTAGAAATCCATTTGCCAGTTTTTTGCTCTCTTGGGGAGAGCTTTTGGAACACCTTACTCATCAGATCGCAGGAAACGTCATGAGGGCTAGAGTTTGTTGTCAGAGTATTTGAGTCTCTTTAGGTTTTTCATTCTACAAGCTTCCTTTACATGTCCCTTTATAGATGTTCCTCTGAAACAGTCTTGCAGTTTATTTGACAAAAAATGGTCTCTGCTGTATTTGTGAGCCACAGAACTGTCTCGGAGGCGAAGAGTTTGTGAGAAGAGTATTAGTAGAAGTGCCTGCTCACTTGAACTGAAACTCATTTTTCTGTCTGGAAACTTCACTGATAACAGGACTGTCAGTTCATGTCTTTCAGTCGTAGTAAAATAGCTGGTATGTTTGGTTTTTAGTCTGTATTATAGAACAAACATTCAGAAATGTGATATAGCCCTGAAGTCAGCCATAGGTCATCAGTATTAAGTAAAATGATGTAGACCTCTAATTGCTTTTCTTCTCTAGGATGGATTTCTGGTTGGATAGGACTTAAATGAACAGCTGTAACATCATTCCATTAACATCTGCATAACTAGCTTCTGCATACACCTCTGTGATTTACAGATCTAGATTTGCTTGGTAAATGTGTATATGCTTAAACGTACCAGCTCTCTACTACGTTTTATTTTTATTTATTTATATACATCTGCAAGTTTTATACTTCCAGCTATTGTCTGCAGAATAACAGGCAACTTTTCACAGAATCACAGAATGTTAGGGGTTGGAAGGGACCTCAAACGATCATCTAGTTTTGCTCCTGTCAGTTTGTTATTACTGTTGTGTAAGGATTTTATTTCATAAAAGCATTTTGTCTAGTGCTTCAGAATGCTAACAATCACATCTAGTGTTGAAATTTCAAATTCTCATGTGTTATTAATACAGAGCTCTTCCAAAATGACAGGTAAAGATTACAGCATTATCCATATGGTTATACAAAACATTATCTCCTGTGATAGAGAGTCTCACAGCAGCCCCTTAATCCTTCATCTTTTTCTAATTGCATCTCTAACTCCTTTTTAAGTAATTACTTTGTTACTTGCAATTTTGTAGTTGGTTTTGTCTCAGGGATCCTGCTGCACTCATGTGCTTTTGCTTGTTGTGCCACAAGTGTTCTAGAATCCATCTTGTAGAACTGTAAGTTGTCAAAATAGCTCTGTTTTGCTTTGGATATCAATAAACAATTCACTTGATATAAATGCTATTCGTAGTCTCTACTAAATGTTTCTGATAGCATAGCTAGGCAGACTCACCCGTGTTATTCCATTTTATACCCATGCTATTCTAGATACCAGATACCTAGATACCAGGAAGAAGCTCTTTATTACGAGGATGGTGAAATACTGAAACAGGTTGCCTGGAGAGGTGGTGGAGGTCCATCCCTGGAGCCATTCATGGTCAGGTTAGATGGGGCTCTGAGCAACCTCATGTAGTTGAAGATGTCCCTGCTCACTGCAGGAGGATTGGACTAGATGACCCTTAGAGGTCCCTTACAGCCCAACACATTCTATGATTCTATTCCACGTGCTATTCCTTTCAGTTTCAAGGGTAGATAAAAAGCAAAGATGATCCGATGATTTCAGTGACCCTGTCTAATGCAGTTTTAATATCTAGGTTATGTTTGCCAGTTAACGAGGAAACTCAAGTCTCAACTCAAAGTTGCTATGTCATCCTCGTCATGCCATGCTTCATCCAAATGGCTTTTGTTACTGGACCATGCCTACAAAGCAAGGGTTATCTGGAAAGATGTATCAGGTTCTCAAAAAATGGTTATTTTAATCTCTCTGTCTCAGACTTCATTAATGACATTCTGAGCTATTTGCAAGACGTAAGAGTTAGTATATTCCCTTACTTACTGGTCCACCTAGCCACTTTCCTTGATAGATTAAGCATAAGTGTTCTCACAACTCTTTTTGCAGAAAGTTCCTGGAGTTGATAAGGTAGGGTCAGAAATTTCAGCTCTCAATACTGCTTGAAATAGCAATAACTTTTGAAAACAACTGTGTTCCACATTGATATGATAACCTTTGAGTGATTGCTTAATGATGATAATTATGTTTGTAACAGTAGGTCTTCCATTTGATGATAGACATCCTTTGTATTACGGCTTTTAAACTTTGCACATGTTGGTCTAAAAAAGATTCTTATCATGAATAAGGAGCTAGAAAGTTAAACTCTTTGCTTAAGTGTAACAAATACATCTTTTCTCTTGATGGAAAATTTCAAAATATACTACAATGTGATGTGAGACAATGAGATGAGAATCTCATGGAACTGTAGAAATTTACATAGCAGACATCTACATGTGAGCTGTTCATCTAGATGACTTTTAAAGTTAGTGAACTTTAGGCTGCAGTTGATTCACCCTAAAGTATAGATGTGTGCCTTAGGACTCCCTGGCTAGCTCAGTCATTCTTTTAGGCATCTGACTCATGTAGGCTTTGATGTTGTCAGGCTTTGATGTTGTCAATGTCTAAATTGCGGCAAACAAATCTCAGCCAAAGCATACTTTTTTAGCAAGTCATCTTTTTCACATCTTCACCGATGTGATCTTTTGTAGTAACTGTCTTTTCTTCATCATCCTCGTGATGTTTCAGTCTTTGTAAGCAGAAAGTCATGTAGATGAAGTTACCTGTGTTTTTTTTTTCTTCTTGGGTATTCTTTTGTTGTACTATAAAGGTAGAATGTTTTAGTCTGTATCATTAAGTGCACAGGTCTCCCAAGCAATTTAGAAAGGATGCACACCCTTAAAAAAAGTAAAAAAAAAAAAAGTCATTAACTTCAGAAAATTTAAGTTAAAAACAATCAAACAAAAAAGACCTCAGAAATGCAGGACCACCAGAAAGTGATATGAATTGCTGCAGGAGTGCATCTGCGAGTATTGCTATAGGAATTTGACAATAGTTGTCACTTCATGAATGTGTTCATGATTTCTGGGAGCTGTAGCAGTGACTGACTGCAACAGAATTAAAATCTTTAACATAATTTGACAGAGATTTCACACTGAGGAATTGTATTACTATGCGGGTACAGATTGTTTAAACTGATAGAATTTAGATTATCGTGAAATAAACATGCTGTGAAGACAGATATGAGTACTGGGATTGCAGTTTAATTGTAGGCATTCATTTTCACTTGCTCTGGTAGCATTTGCTTGTCTTACACTGCAACTTATGTAAACACCATCGTTACCTACTTCTGAATGGAAATGTTTCTGCATACCCAAATTACATCTATATGATTTTTTCATTTATCTTTCATTAAGTAGTTTGAGTTCAATGTAAGGAAAAAACCCAGGTCTACTTCTTTCATAATTTATCACAGAGGATGCTCACTTGTTAGCAGTGTGTTTCTCTGTGAATACCCCAAGCACAGCTTTTTGTATTTGCAGGAATAGAAGAAAAAAATTCAATAGTTTTGTTGTTGGCTGCTAATAATATGCGCTTAAAATAATCTATCAGGATGATTAACTGTCAGGAGGATATTAATTTTGACTTCAGGAAGATTAATACGACCCCAGTGGGAAAATGTGGCTTTCATTATCTGGAAGCATTAAATATTCTGTAGCTTATATGAATTCTTTGCTGACACGGTTATTGATAAATAACAGTACATCCAGGATGTAGTTAGGAATACTGTGTAGAGTAGGAGAGTACATTTTAATGATCTTTAATTGTAATTTTTCTTAAACTAAGAAAAAAAAAAAGATGTGTTCCTGTGTACTCACCAGTCAACATACTGGTAAAGAAGTAAGAAAAAACAGCCTGTGGCAAGGATAAGACATGGCAGAAAATTAGAAACAGAAGGTAGTCTTTAGTTCACTTATTTTATTAGGTTATTCCCAAGTCTTACCTGAAGAGTATAGTCAAGGTAGTCCAAGAGCCCCCAAACTAGAATGTTAGTTCCCCATTCTTGTCCAGGTAAAAGATGTTTGTATTAAAAGCTCCTGAATAAATCTTGTCTGCAAGCAAGCTTATATGTTTTTGCCCTCACTACGTTTTTCAAGAGCTATTTCCTTGAGCTGTAGTTTTTCTAAACACTTGTAAGGCATTATTTGCACTGCATGAAACAGCACATGTGCTTCTAACTTTCTTTCCCAAGCTATGCAATGAAAATAGATAATCACAGTGCCTTTCAGAGATGATGGTAGTTAGTTCATGTTCTGTTTTCCCTAGGCTGGTAAGTTTTGATGCTGTTTCTGTTGAGTGAGAGCTCATGATAAGTAATATTAATTTGTGCATATAGGTTCATGAAGTGTGAATGAATTTTATATTCATTCTGTTATACTTTCAGGTGAGTGTAGAGTGTGACTAAATGTGAAAAATCTGAACAAACCAAGGTGTGAAACATGAATGTGGCCAACCAGCCAGAAGAGGTGATTTTTTAAAATTTTTTTTTTTTACATACAGGAATACAGTTTCCTGTGTTTAATTAAGCCACAGACAATAATCATGGTGGAAATGTTTATTTTCTCAAACAAAGGGTTCTCTACTGAATGCAACCTGAAGGTGCTCAGGGGCAGAAGGCACAGTGCCTTGTATGTGATTTGTATGCGATGTATTACAGACAAGCTGATCTAGCTACCAAACTGTTGATCCTGCCCATGGCCTTCCCCTGACCTCTTTTGACAACGGTGGAACCGCCGCTCACTGTTCAGTGAGTCGACAGAAAATTAATTCCACAAAATAACGATTACTTTTCTGCCTGTTTAGTGCAAGTCCTCACGCTCCCAAATGCTTTTCACTATTGGTTGTGCTAATACTAGTGTTGATCTGTGCTGTAAGCCCTTTTGAAATGATTTAAAATAGCTACAGAAAAAGTTCAAGAAGAAAAAAACTCACATTGTTACAGAGATCTGAATTACAGTATAGTCCCCTGATAAGTTGTGCTGCCACTGCTGAGGAAGAATAATAAAGCAGCCAGAGACTTTGCAGAGCTGGAACTTCCTAAATGTTCTTTGATGTCATGAAAAATGTTCTCGAAACCTTAGGCAAGAATTTAGCAGCATTCCATTTGAGTTCAGGGAGGACAAGGGAACCCTTCTGAAGCATTTTCTTTTGTGTGTGTGATAAATAGCAACTATGTCTTTCTTTCAGAATCTTGTATGTGTATGTGTCTCTTAATTCTGATCCTGACTGTTCATAAGATTTCATTAATACTTCCATTTGCCATTGCATTAACCTGTCTTGATTTAGTGATCAGTGAACAAAATATTAAGGTATGAAAAGGTGATCTTGAAATCGAAGTATTGGTCTTCTCTTATGAAACTCAGCATTCCAATGTAGCACTAGAGCATCTTAAATTTCACTCTCCACTGAAATGTACTTGGAGCATGATCGTACCCAAAATAGACTACAAGATAGAAACATCTTGTGGAGACCATGCTATTTTGCATGTAGCTAGAGAAAAGATTGATCTGAAAAGGTTCTGGAAAATCAAGCATCACTAGGTATCGTGAGAGTAGTCAGAACACTGTCTTTTTATATTCTTCAACTTCAGATATTCTGTATCTTTATTTATTAGTGCATCACAGATGTGAAGGAGAGGGAAGGCCTTCCAAGTCAGTTATGTATTTTATATACAGATAAACAACATAGACCAGCAGCATTGAAACAGAAACCCTGACAACAGTTTTGTTGGTATGGAGAGCTTGTTTTTCGCACTAATTTGTAAGACCAATATGTGATTCCCATACCTTTAGGCAATACATTTTCAGCATATGCACTTTATCATGTCTCGTAACAAGGCAAGAACATGCATGTTGTTGGTTGCTCGTCGTGTTAAGTCGCTATAGTCATTTTGGTATCCAGAAATCATCAGCCTCTACTGTTAAATTGTGGGTTAAATTCCAACCAGTTCTTTTGTCTGCAGAAGATAAAACTGTATAGCTACTGTTCTTCAAGTCAGGTTTCAGTTGCACAGCAGATACTAAGACATCTGAATCAGATTTCTCACTGATTTTGTTTTTTTTAAATGTTTTCTATTCATGTTTTCTGTTAGCATGACATCACATTTTAAGACAATGTTATGTTAGGGGCCTGATTATCTCAGTCAGTTGAGCGTGGCACTAGGTCGTGGGTTCGATTCCCGTTCAGTCCCCATGTGTTGCCTGATCTAGTCGAGAGGTGGCGTCCTTGGTGACAGGGAGGCTGGATTAAAATGATCTCTAAGGTCCCCTCCAGCCTGGGCCATTCTATGATTCTATGATAAAAATTTATGTACCAAAGTCGTTCTTTTGACTTCAAGTTCCAGATCGGAATTTCAGAATAGCTGAAGATCAGACTGTTTCTATACTGACTGCACTGATAAATATGGTATGAATTTCTACAGGCTATGGCACATGTAAAATTGACTTTTAAATTATTTTAGTAACTGTTGGTTACTAAATTTACTCTAATAAAA